TGAATTATAAATGTATTTTAAAAGTAGATAACTTTTGTATTTCTTATCGGTTTTACTTACATATATAATATATCAAATTAATCATCTTTTGATGATATTCGATTTAACATCTATATTGTATACATAAAATAAATAAATTATATTTATCTATATAATAATAAAAAATAATAATATTTATTAAAATTCATTAGAAAAATAAAATTATTTCTCAATTGATATATTTATATTTAATGTAGTTATATAGTGTAAGTTAAAAAATTAGTATAATATAACACAAGTAAGTTAAAAAATTAGTATAATATAACACAAGTAAGTCGCACAAATAAAAAGTATCATAATAAATATATATATATATATTCTTATAAAAGGTATTTAAATTTTAAAACTACTTTTTTCATTAATTTTAAATTTTGAAAAAAAAAATTAGCAAGCACCCGTGTAATACACGGGTATTGTACTAGTAGTATACTGAGTATATTTTTACACAGACGGCATAGCACGCGACGTGTCATGTTGAGCAAACGAGGACTGTACACTCTCCTACATGTGTGCGATTAGTGTAACGTTAAAGAAAAAAGTCTAAAGTGGAGCGCACACAACACAACAAAACAGAAAAGAAAGAAAAAAATAAAATAAAATAAAGCGTCAGTGTTTGGTACCAACTTGTGTTTTTATTTGCCAGATTTGGGTTTTATCCCTCTTTTTCTTGCCCACAAATGAATTTAATTTTGTTTTGACCGTTGACCCCTGACGCAGCTGCTTGCCGATTCCGGTAAAAAGTCGACACCCTTTTCACACCTTATTTCACAAAAGCCATGCACCTCCTAATAATAATATTCTCTCTTGTTTTTTCACATCACCAACCAATACCATCATTTAATGAATTATGATATTTTTGTTCACCCAAGTGAATTTTGTTACTGTGATACGGTATTTTAAAAGTCGTCATGTGCTCGACCAGCGTTTAGTTGGGCTTAAAAATCAATATTAAATAATTTATTTTTTATTTATTTTAATTTACTATAAAATAAATTATCTCAACTTATAATAAATCTACATATCTAAATTCAAATAACCATATTAATATATATATTAAAAAATCCTTAGAACAAAATAATGTAATTAATATATAAAAAAGAAATTAAAAATTACCGCTGAACCCGTTTAAGAGCACCTTGGTCCGCTTAGACGCCAACCTAAATCCACCTAGAAGCGCCTAAGGCTGCATAGGGCCGTCTGGCCGATTTTTTCTGCCCATTTTTTAGAACAGTGATATGATCGGATGCCATCACAAAATTTACTATTATTGTTATTATTATTATTTATTATTTTCATACATTATTTTATATATTCATTACTGTATAAAATATTTTTTTATTACCAAGCTAGGGAATATTTTATCACTAATGAAATGTAAAAACTGTAGAATAGTATATTCTTCAAATAAATAAATAAAAATTATTATATTGCAAATTGATAATCTTTTTCAGATTTAGTGAGATGGTTATGTTGAAAATTCAGATTTTGAAAGGAACGCAAAACGACAAACCAATTGATAGCACAGCGCCAGCGAGTTCCTCCCGACAGTGTACAGGCAGGCAGATCATTCCACGTGGACGGCTAGGATTTCTACTGTTGATGTCTTGAGGCCATATGATATGAACGAGATGAAGCTATGGCGGAAAGGCTCCAATTTTCTTAACCACGGTTAGAATCTCAACCATGGTACCTACCGCCGCTTCACAAGAAAACAATTTAATCTCATAGAATTATTGTACACTGTACACTCATCAGTTCAAATCTCTCTCTCTCTCTCTCTAAACACAAACAAGAGATGGAATTTGGGTACAGATGAAAAAAAATCGTCATGTATATGAAAATCGTCGCCAATTTTGGTTTATAATTATGACTGTACGTGCTTGAGCTGCGTGAAAACTTGCAGGTCCTTTTTTTTTTTTAATTTTTACGGTCCACATTAATTTTCAGCTGAATTAAATAAAGCATCAGCTTGTACCAAAAAAATAAATAAATAAATAAATAAATAAAGCATCAGCTGCAGCTTATATCTTGAGCTCATAAACAGAGAAACGGCCATGGTGAAATTAGAGATGACCTCATCCCCAACACCAGGGTTGTCATCACTTTCCGGCGAAAAATCCTCTCAGCCCCCGGAAAATTCAAGTCCGCCAGCTAAGAAAAAACGCAGTCTTCCTGGGATGCCAGGTAATTTATTTATTTAATTTAATTTTTTTTTTTTTTTTTTTGGTTCCCCGGGTATAAAATCAAGAATCTTGATTATTATTGCAACTTTTTTGTAGATCCGGATTCTGAAGTAATCGCGCTGTCCCCAAAAACGTTGATGGCGACCAACCGATTCGTTTGTGAAATCTGCGGGAAGGGTTTCCAGCGCGACCAGAACCTGCAGCTCCACCGGCGGGGCCACAACCTCCCGTGGAAGCTCCGGCAGAGGACGGTCAAGGATCCGAGGAAGCGGGTCTACGTCTGCCCGGAGCCGTCGTGTGTCCACCACGACCCCTCGAGGGCCCTCGGCGACCTCACAGGGATAAAGAAGCACTTCTCCCGGAAGCACGGCGAGAAGCGGCTCAAATGCGAGCGCTGCTCCAAGAAGTACGCCGTCCAATCCGACTGGAAGGCGCACATGAAGACCTGCGGGACAAAGGAGTACCGCTGCGATTGCGGCACTTTGTTTTCCAGGTGAAGCTAAATTTCACCATCTTTAATTTCTTAAAAATGTGAACTTTTCTTTTTTGGTGTGAGTATAGGGATTTGTGTTTTGCCGGGGTTTGGTGATACACGGCGTCGTTTTTCAAACAGGAGGGATAGTTTCATCACGCACAGAGCGTTCTGCGAGGCGCTGGCGCAGGAGAGCGCCGCGGCGCGAGCCCGGCCTCCGGCGGTCGCTAGCTCGGGCGGGGAGTCGGCGGCACCGGCCGGTGCCGGTTCGAGTCCGGCTCTTTCGCCGCTCACACCTCCTGCCGGTGTGTTGTCGTCCCCAGTGCTGTCCGTGCAAAGTTCAGGTAAACGTCGTGATACTTATGTTCTCATTTGGCCGGTAATTGTGAGGAATGTGTGCATGGGGATTTCGTGTCTGCAGCTTTTCTTGTTTGCTTTTTGTTTATTTTACGGGAAAGATTGGAGCTTTTAAGGGAATAACGCCATTGCTTTCATTTTTTTCTTGTGCGCCCCTTTTGGTCGATTTGTTTGAATGATTGTTCAGCGGGTTGTAACAGGCTTTTCTTTTATGTGTGTGTAATGTGTATATAGATGAAAGAGTAAAGCAAAGTAGTAATTAATTGAAAAGCAGAATAGATTTTGTGACAGATATGAAGAGTAGTAATCAATGCATCATCTTGATTCTCCTATTCCCTTTGCTTGTATGTGTTTACTTCACCTGAATCAGCTGAGCTGCCGGAAAATCAAACCACCCACGTACCAACTTCAACCACCACCGTTGCCGCCATGTTCAACTCGTCATCATCATCATCATCTTTCTTAGGCCCGGGTGGGCCCATCGTGGACCCTATATCTCTCTCGCTATCCAACTCCTTGTACGCTACATCAGCATCTTTATTCACATCCTCCACGGCCCAAAACAATCATTACGTCCCATGCCTAGACCCGGCCCTATCCGCCACGGCCTTGCTTCAGAAGGCGGCCCAGATGGGCCCAATCTCATCCAACCCTTCATTCCTCCACGGGCTCTGGCGAGATCATCATATCTCCACATTAATGGCCCCCGCAGCAGCTTGTCCCCCTCCACCATCATGTGGTGTGAAGCTCGAGAAGAACTTGATGGCATCTGGGCTTGGGCTCGGGCCTCCGTCCAGTGGGTCATCGGGTAGTTTTGGTAATGAACTGATGACAGGCCCATCCGGTATGTTTGGGAATAAGCCGGCAACGCTAGATTTTCTTGGGCTAGGCATGGGACGAGGCAGCGAAGGGCCCGAGGTATCTCTTGGGCTTTCTGCCCTTTTTAGCCCGATCAGTGGCGGGATTGACATGACGGCTGCTTCGTTTTCCGGTCTTAGGCCCGGTGGGGACGGTTGGGATGCGGATTCATCTGAGAGTAAACCTTCCATTTTGTAGCTTTGATTTAGTTAGGGTGAAGAAAGGTTTTATTATCTGCCAGTTATCGAGTTTTTTTTTCCTTAAATTCTGGGTTTGGAGATGAGTTTTTAGTTGTGGACAGCTTGTTAAGGTGCTTCTTGTACATACTGAAAACAGGTTTATGCTTCATTTTTATGGATCAGTGAAATGCTTGTGTACAGGGATTTTTAGATATATTTAACTTTGCAATTTGGCTCTATGAGATGTTGTGCCATATATATTTTCTATTTTTTTTATTATTATTATTATTATTTTTTTTTTT